CTTCGCACCAGAAAAATTTTGTAAAGCTCCACGAATTCGCAAGGCACCAGAGTGGAGTGAGTTGACAAAAGAGCGCAGCCTGTGGCTGCTTGCTGTGCATGAAGAGAAGTGCTTGTAGCACTTACACTCAACAAATGATGGATTCCCTCGTTCCTAGCATACCAGGACACCTGATCCCAAAGAAAACATAGTACAAGTACATGATTGGGTGCAGCAAACGCAACAAACGACTTGCTATATCTTATCATAATCGTACGCAAGGATTACATTCCATTACCTGCCTAGTATTATCATACTTTTGCCCCTAGGAAAGGTTTACATTAAGCTCACGCCTAGCTATGGGGTGGGCTTATTGAGTAGCAAACAGCAAAGCGTACTTTCCTTCCCAGAGACTTCTGCCCAACGCGAGACTGGCCTCAGTGCAGATCGGCTCGGAGGTATTATGCCGATTTCCAGGTTGAATTCAGTGCACCAGTTCCCTTATAGGTGTTTATGATTCATCAAACAGCCGTCAAACGCCTAATTTTGCATAAGATTGATTGTGCTGTCGCAGGTTTTGAGCTTTCATAGTGCCGACAATTCATCACGAGGGTCCTTGCGCCTGACTTGCTGACGGGCAAAAATCATTCCTGTAAAGGGGATATGTCTACAAAAGGACTAATACTTGGATAAACAAACTCGTTGATCACAGGGAAAGATAGTGCTTGTATGAAATAGTTTTAGAAGTGCCTTGATAGGACTTGCCCGCAGTAGGTATTAACTTTGTGAGCACGCCGCTTAAGGTCACTATTAGGCTTGCTCGAAATTCCTAGGGATGATGAATAGACTCTACGAGGCTGGATCACACTCTCAACAGGCACCGAGCTCTGCACCTGCTAGCACTTTTGCTATCATATTGCAGAATCGCACACACCCGGACTGCCAATGACAATCCGTTATCTAAAAGATGCTAACTAATGAGCTACTAGCTTTCTCGGCGCTCCCCACCACGACAGGGTAGCAACGGTTTCCATTGCAGGCTGAATGAGTGGGTTTCTAGGTCTAAAACTCAATTCCACCTCATCTCGAACTTTCCTTAAATCCCTCTGAAAGTGTGAGGAAATATTCCTTTTTCTTTCTTGGATATCAGCTTCAATCTTACATGGAACTTTAAGGAAATCAATTTGTATTTACGCTTAAACGCACACTTGGCCGGCTGTTCCACGCCGGCAAGCCGTACCGCAGCACCAAAAACAGGGGTCGCCGCTGCGTGAGTCGATATAATGAGCCAAGAGAATCAGCGGACGCAATATAAAATCACTACTTGAGGATATCGGATATCGAAGATTGTCTCTGCGTGTACTGTGGCGTGCAAGCCCAGAGGGGCCAAACCCTGCGCACCGTGAAGCTCAATCTACCTGCAAGACTTGACTAAAGGGGAACAGCAGGTGGCTATCACTAAGTCTGGAGCTGCATTCTTTTACGTATCCAGTGTAGAAAACCCCTTTCTAGCGTGCAGTGCAGACACTGATGCGTAATCAGTAATGGTCGATAAGTGCTGAGGATCTTCATGGGCTTTGAGTGAGTAGGGCCACTAGCTCTTAAAGTGTTATTGCCCAGAGAGCCATTCAACTGGCAAAAAAGCTGGAGGAGCCACGCTTGTACTCTTAGCTCACCATTGATGTCAATGTGTCTGAAATGACTTCGCACGCGGGGGTTATAAACCCTTAGGGGAGAAGAGTGTACGAAACGCCTAGTCCTTTGGGCATTAGTGCCCACAGCGCGACCACGATCATCGAATATGCGGCTACAGGCGCTATCCTATGATCAATTTATTACAGTTTGTGTACAGCTTGGTCAGACATCTGGATACCTCGGATAGCCAAACGCTTGGGTTACTCAAATAACACGAACGCCAGGAGGGAAACAAATGCATTGAAGCGAATATTACTCACATAGTTGAGGTATATGTAAGCCGCGAAAACGTGTATACATCTACAGTGCTAAACAGAGGATGCAGTCTTAACTCCGCGTCGCCTGTAGGACTACACTAATATTCTCTGGTGTAATGTTGAGGACATCGCAGAGAACGGAATGTTTGGAAGAGACTACGCCACTACTGAAGGAGCGTTGCCCCGAACCCGTGTCGTGTAAATGGTGTCTAAGCTTGCCTTTAAAATACGCCTAGTGAATCGTAAGATACGGCTTTAGGAGTTGTCTAGCAGTAGGTGTTGTTCATTTCGGATACTGCTTTTAAGCTGGTGTAGGTAGGACAGGTGAATTCACTGTTGAGTGCCGGAAATTCCATGCTTCGCCCGAGGCGATATGCTGGGCCTCCGCATTTTGTGTATAACCTAAAGCGTTGGCTGATTAAGCATACAACTTTAAGTTGTGGAGGTCACCTCTCAGCCAATCAAGGCTAACTCACAAAATGCTATGGCCATGGCTTTGTCCCTAGATACTGCGTCGTTTCGAGTTACGATACACAAGCTGACGGATATCCTGCTTCCTAGTCGTTCAGGTTTGCACGCATAGACGAACAAGATGCACAGGTTGCCTTTACACTCATGCATGCTCTGAAATACCTGTGTATCTACGGCTTGTCTTCTGAATCAATTACACAGTAACCCAGCACGCCGGGTACAGCCTGAACGTTGCGCTTTGTAAAAACTGTGGGATCCAGCACTTAGGCATGGATCATCACATTACGTTGAATACCATTAGTCCCATATTAAAATGACCAGCATTGTGACCGCACATGGTCCAGCGCACGGTACATCCACTCTGAAATTTAGTCTTTCAATTCTCTAGAGGATCTTTCCTTTTCGATTAAAGCCTTTCCACTTTAGAACACGGCTTCTTATTGCGCTGCTTCCAGAGGCATCACAGCTCCTGATATCTTCAAGGCAATGCACGATACCAAAAGCCTCACTAAAACTCCTACATCTTAAAACTTGCGCTCATGCTCTTGAGGCCACGCTTTTTACGCTACACCCACGTACTGGATATGCACAAAACACAGGTTCTTCGCGTCTTCAACTTGGCAGACTGCTAAGTACCTATGCTTGAAAAGGTACAGCAAAAAGGCTATGCTGAATGCCTTGCATACAGAGTTATTCGGGCAATAGTGAGCGAGCAAACCATATTCTGCGACTACGGTGAAAAGCTGGTCCAGCTCAAGCTGAATGAAAACTGGAATCGCACTTATACCACAGTTCAGAACGGCTAAGCATATTAATTTCATGCCAAAGCATCCAATCCCACTGCTTTGTGCTCTATATTCTGACTTAATGCCTAAAGCTTTTTCCTGAGCTCCAAACGACGGCTTGATAGGCTTTGTTGCTGAGCCACAGGCCTTTCCATTGAATGTGGAGAAGGAATGGTGCGGGCTCTTTTACTATAAAAGTCTGAACACTTTAGGTGGTTTGATTTGCTAGTGGTTGACGCAACGGAATTCTTGTTGGCGTGGTCAAATTGAGCGAAGAACTGCATAAACCAGTTCAGCAAACGGCCAGCGCTATGCAACCATGCAAGATACGTGGTTTATCGACAATGGCAGCGCACGTCACCGGAATTATATTGTAAAAGCTCATTGCCCTATACGCGAGCCTAAATCCCACACCCTGAATTGTAAGCCGAGCTGTTTGGGGAATGCGGCTTGAAAATACACTTGACGCAAGAAAGGAAACTGTCGTTGAACATCAATTTGCAAGCTCGTTCTCAAGGTAGAGGCACTTCAATGCAACTTTTCAACTGATCCATGAACAACGTCAAATCTAGGAAAAATCGTGTGCATCTGTATTTGATCCATAAAAACCATCTTGAACAGGGCTTATTCAATTTCGCTTCACGCTCCGCTCTACAGAAAGATGATTGAAACCAAACTTGTCCGCAAAACTTAGATGAAGTACTCCCCCTTTCCAGTTCTTCGGTGGCATATTCACTCCTCGCAACGCATCTTGGTGCGCCACAAGGAAGGATATAAGAAAGAATTAGGAGAATGAGGCCAGCGGGAGACTTGTTCCTGGGAAGATAACAAATTTACTCATTTTCTGTATACCTTATACCGAGTTTCATTTTTCGCCTGTGATATCCGGCACTGTGGTACGGTTCAACGCACGTTGATTCATAGGCGTCTGGACCCTTAAGGCAAGAGGCGACTCAATGAAAACAAAATTGTATCGCAAAACGCTGAGGGGGAGTTGAGTAGAAGCACACAACGATCTATAGCGGCAAAAGGCAGTGTACAGAAAGCCCAAATCCCTCAACATTTCATAGTTCAAGGCTTCTTTGCCAGATATTCATTAGGCTGGCCGTTGCATTCCCTCGGAGTACCACGAGAAATTGCAGTGACTCGGTGTCCGACGAGGCAGCAACGCATCTCACAGCTCCATGGAGCAAAGCAACAGCGCTAAGTAGCCTCACAGTTTAGAAGTTCATTTACTTTGTCCTAGTAGCAGCTGTCAAAAGCAGCCTTTTCGTACGCAACAGTTAGCGAACGGCGCCATACCTCCGGGACACTGCTTATAAAACACTCGAGAAAAATATTTGACTCCCCCGATAGCCGATTAGCAAGAATGAGGTATTGTAAGTTCCTATCGGGGCAAGCACACCACTGCACCGTGATGCATCAAGAAATGCGCAGCGGTCAATCGGGCATCTGCCTTACAAGAGAAGGTGGCAGTTGGCTGTGTGAGTATGTGGTTAACTCCCTGGTTCCTGTAGAGGTATGCAGTAAGGGCCCTCCCTCAGGATTGCTGCTGTCCATAAGATGCAATTACGCTGAGCATTTAAGAAATACGCACAGTCTCAATCCTACATACATATGATATCTTCTGTCGCTGTACCCGTAGTGCTTTGCCTGAGAAAGTTCTTTACGGAAAGCTCTACCTATGCTAATTGGTGCAGTGGCTACACGGGAGCTCATCGCCTCAGCTGTTTACAATGTAGAGCTGATTAGCATGTGCACATTTAAAGACGTATATATACACTTATGTTTCGAAGTAGGCAGAGGAAACCGGTTAATGCAAGGCGTGAAGCTGTACTGTGTGTGGAGTGCCAGTTCCTGTTTTTGGAGGTACTGCAAGGACCCTATATTTGGTGTGCTGTTCATCCGGGCTAACGAGCAACTCTTCTTCATCCACAGTATCGAAACCTCCTGAGGTGTTCGGTCGCGTCAAAACAGCAGTGTAAAGCCTGCACCCGGGGGCCAGGCTGCTGCACGTAACGCACAGCAGCGTGTAAGGGAAGCAGTCTGCATAACCAGCAGACGAGGATATGTAGTTTTCTGCACTAAGGAGGGCTCGTTAGTAAATTCCGCCACTTGGATATATGTATGTATATGTCTATACATATCTGTGCGGTGAAAACTACAGAAAATGTATTTAGATCTGAGATATCCACGCATGTTGCCTACCACAGCAACAGCTATAAGCGTACCTGGTGGGTGTTTGGTTGTGGCACAAGAGTTTAGTGTTGCGAGTTCACCCACCTGGTCACAAGGACGTTGGTGAAGTGTCGGTTAATATAACCTGCAGTGGTGGTGGGATGTATCATGAGCTTCTTTGTTAGCAACCGAGTCTTTTTGTTGCTTCTTTCCCTAGAGCTAGGCGACAGAGAGTCTACGGTAATTATCAGTGGCAACAGCCCCTGGCCTGCAGGTGTGAGACGCCACAAGGAATGCTCAGAATTATGAACTGATCTAGTTCTTGTATCGCTTCTACTGTCGGCAATTTGTACGTGGGGAGATTGTCGTAAACCTCATGCTGAGATACGCGGACTTATCAATGCTCTTCTGTCTATGCCCTTCCGAAAGCGTGCGCATTGATGCATGTATAGCAAAGAGCACAACAGAACCAATTCATTCAGCGCGTCTTTAGCAGGATAAGTAAGCCTACGAATCAAAGCAATCACTATTCCACGCCCAATGGCACATAATGGTGCAAAATTTTTCTAACGAACTATTAGCGTTGACTGGAAGTATGGCCGACAGCGGATCCTGCGGGGGAAGTAAGGGCGAAAAGGTGACAGCGCTGTACCTTCCCGAGCCTTGGTTAAAGCCTGATTAAGCAGTTCCTCAAAAGCGCTCTTCCCATCTGCTTCACTCGGAGAAAATCGCCGGGGTTCCCGAAGGGCTTCAGGAAGCAACTTGCTGAGGCTGCTGGCGGTCAACGCCATTTCTGATAGCAATAGCATGACTCCAGTGATGATGCAAATGGTAAGCTTGACGATGCAAGCAGCGACCTTATGCATGCCCTCGTGCGCACCTAAAGCAGCTGACATTGGAGGGCTTGGGCAGTGCAGTGTACTCACTTTGTTCGGTGGTGAGCCACCGGAGGGTGTCCACAGCCTTCAAATGTAGTTCCTCTTTAGTTGCGAAAAGCGTCACTGCCTCCCGGAATTGCTTTAGGGTGAGGCCGTAAAGTGCCTCAGTATATTCTTCCCGGGCTTCCCAGTTGAGGAACGGTATGGGGACGAAGCGATCTCTGCTCATCTCTAGCATTACAGCTTCAAATATACCCATGTAATCGGTGCCTTTAGGTAAGGAACCATATGGCAAACGGTAAATCGCGCGGGCGACTTGCAGTTGCAGCAGTTTTTTCGCATTTTCCGTTGTCCCTGAGAGATATTCAAAGGGTGCGGAAACAGAATAGCAAAAGTCTAGGTGACTAGGAGTGCGGACAGCCTATGAAAGGGTTGCAGTAGGAGAAACCAGGTACTAACACTTGGCTTCCATGGAGAACGATTAATGGGGTAATGTGGAAGAGTAGTATAACGCCCAACACAAAAATCGAAAAATGCATAAATGGAAACATGCGAACAAACCAGCAATCAGGAACTTCGCAAGGCCGAGCGAGACACCAAGATGCAGCGGGAGACTTGCCACTACAGAAGCACGCCTCCGATGTGACCTACATGCAGTTTGGCTGATGTTGTTGATCATTGAATTTATGATTATCTCAGTTACTTTAGCTTCCGTAAACCCGAAGTCATTACGGGCTCGGGCGACCCCCCAAGGGAGACCGTAATGTGTTTCCCTTGTTGCTGCTTCCAGGTGATTCCAAATGCAGTCCTGCAGGAGCGACAATTCCTCCTCCGACACCTTCGCTCCGCTTGCCTGCTTCATGTGTATAGTGGACGCGACAGGAAGGGACGAGACACAACGGCGGAGGGCCACTCGGGAAAGACGGTCCACAGAAGCCCAAGACACATACGAGGCAAATATTCTGAAGTAGAGGAAAGTTACACAAACAGATGCAGCCGCAACATTTAATGAGCAGAGCGACACCTCACAAAGGAGCCATTCTGTATGACGATACGAGAGCGAAGAGGCAATGGGGGAAGGTCGCCTTCAAAAATAGTGCGATGAAGGCTCAGGGGATTGTAAGAGGAACGCATAAATATAGGTGTATGCGAAATTGTGCTACAAACACAAGGTCAAGCGGCAGAAAAGGTTAGAAGTGAGCAGAAATACAAACGTGAACAGCCAAAAGTAAAAACACTATGCTCACCTCTCTTTGAGGTAGCTACTAACTTCGCTCTCGCTGTTGGGTTGGACTCCCAGAGAGCTGAGAATGGAGTCAATAGCAGCAGAAGTTGGCGTTTCCTCCAGCAGCTGCGTATTTTTCTCGGGTTCGAGTTCAGTGTGAACGTACAGTTGAGTAGCTTTGGCCACGGCAATGCTGGCGGCAGCCACTGCAACAACAGCGAAGCCGCACATTCCACCAGTCCTGTAGGAGCAAACGAATATGGAACTAGTCGCTTTCTCCACACGCTGGTGTTTAAAGTTGAGACTTCTATGGCTTTAAGGCTAAGCATTTGATATTTGTGTCGAAAGGTATAGCAATCCACAGCGGGTAGAGCCACCTTGTGCATCACTTTGACCGGGCTTTTTTGTGAATTTCGGTTGGGGGTACTACTTTCAAAGGATAGGTATTCATCACTTATATCGAAGCCATTTTTAACAACAAGGTCGGACTTTTCCTGGCGACGATCTCCTGTTGGATAAGTAAATCCAGGCCTTCCATGCATACGCCAAACACAGCATCAACAAGATCGCGTATCTTCTCATCCGCTCCGTTCTGCTGTTGAAGGCTGGGCCAGTTAAGATCTGCCGCTAGCTGCTGCTTTACTGTTTCAATCTCGTGTGCAGTTGCCGCTGGAAGCCTTTTAAGAGGCAGGACCGTCTCGAGACTTAGTGGGCCTATCGATGCCCCAACAGCCTCCTCTATTGGGCTATAGGCAGCTACATACCACACAAGAAACAAGTGGTGGACATTGAGCTTTAACGTTCTGGATAGTGGTGCACATGCTAATTTTGCTTAATATAATGCAACAATGGAAGTGATGTACTTCTGCTTCCTCATATTTTGCGATGTACTGGTTACGGATAAATGGGGAGTATGTACCCAGGTCTTGGAGTGCTCTAAGGACTTTAGTTGCCTCATGTTGCCTCTCTGGCCCTTCAGCGTTCACGGCGATAAGCTGAGACCTTTGTAATGCCAGCGGGAAAATAACTGTGGCTTTTGCCTCTCCTAGCATTCTAGAACCTTCTTTAGAGCCCAGCCGTACCTCTTCTAAAGCCCCAGCGACTGATCACAGGATAACACGTAGGCATAAGAAGCTCAAAGATAACTCTGATTCTGGTGTTGGCATTGATTTTTTCTGGTGCCCACACTTATGGGTACCCCCACCATGTAGCTCTCCGAAGTAGCATATCCTGAAGATTATCCACTCTTGATGAGCAGGATGATAGAGATACAGATACAATGAATGTTCCAGTGTCTTTACGATGCAGCGAAATGACGGTATTTAAGACTGTACACTTTAGGATTCATTTAGGGGGCTCACCAGATAAGTATGCGTAGGCGTTGCTCATAGAAATACGGACCATGGCATTGACTTCCGTCATTTGCGCAATTTTTGTTTTAACAAGAAGAGGCATTGGGGAAATGTAGAGCTTCTCTATTTTCCCTCCAGGTTGCATGCATTGCTTTAGGTGTGCCCGAAGCTCCGGAGTATACAGCTGAGGAGGAGATGGGCTGGCCAGTGTTCCGAAAGAAAACTTTGCGCCAGCTGATAGGTTGGGCACGATGCACCGCTCTATCCAGGGAAACAAGGAAGGGAGTTGCGTGGAAACACCCCAGAAGTACGAGAGGGTGAGGCCCAGGGCGTATACATCACTATCCGGCATGGCCACCCGTAAATAAGAAGATGCAAGAGGGAAGTGCCTTTTGGGGGTTTCTAGTTCAGGAGGCATAAACGCAAGTGTGCCTTGAATTGAAATAGGTTGCCCCAAGGGTGCTGCCATCCCGAAGTCTCCTGCTGCTAATCGTGGTGGGGACCGAGGATCCTTCCTGCGATGTACGCACATGTCCACCCGCAGAGTTTTCAGAACAGATGGTCGCGCCTTTTATCCGGTTGCATCAGCTGCGAAATCTCCCTTCTTGATGCCTTCTACTTAACGACTTCTGCCAAGAAATAGCTGCGTTACAAGAAAAACTACTTGCCTGTTTATGGAGAAGAGTAGATTGGCGGGCTTAATGTCCAAGTGTCCGAGGCCGAAGAAATTGTGCATGAATACAAAAGGCTGCAGGAGCCCCGAGGAGACAGCTAGGAGGGAGTGCTTGTCTTCCAACAGCTTCTTAAGTGCATTATTGTGATCGCTAATGACCCAACCATCCATGTAGAAGCCTTCGCGTTTAGTGTTGGCTGTAGGCTGTATGGGCACATGCACACCTTGACCCACTTGGACGCGTCAAGTTACGAGCAATGTGTCAGATGCCAAGGACAAGTAGAAGGAAGAATGCTACCACTACTTTAAAGGACTCAAAGCCCATTGCAACAGAAATATAGAAGTCTGAGCTACTAACAGCGAAAACCCAGCGCGGTGTGAGGGAACCTTATAATGCAGCTGTAGTAGGGTAGGGCAGCAACAGCAGCACACCTTCATATCTCCGTCAAATAATTCCATAAGAAAGCCCCAGTACAACTGGCCATCTTGGTCCTTGGCAAGGACACGCCCAAGGGGCAGTGCCCAACTAAAATTAGATCTCCCCATGGCAGAATAATGGGACACTCGGTCCCGTGCTGGGGAATCTGCAAGGGGAACACAAGTAAATAAAGCACGCGAACAGCAACAAAGCATGAAAGGTCAGGCATTTAGCAGCAACATTTACTATTACCAAGAGTACGTATACCCACGTAACTAATGAAAAATGCACGTAGGGGAGCCACTGTCATACTGACAGTAGACAGAGTTAATGTCTTTTCTTGTAAAAGAAATTCTATAGGTGATGCTTCTAGCTAACCGGTGAGCCCGTATAAGCTGTTAGATATGTAGATTGTCCTTTTATCTCTCATGCACTTTTCTACGGAGCGTTTTAGGAGAGGACATGACCAGTTTGGCGCAAAAAGGCAAATAGACACATGGAAAGTGAAGCTTGCCTTGGATGGCTGCCCAAACAGTGAGGTCGATTTTTTGCAAGGCCTTTTCGATTTGTATAAATGCTTGCCCGACCTTTTCCAACTCATCGAGAAAAGATTTTGCACTAGCGGCCTTTCGCATCGTTTTTATATGCCTCAGGAAGTCGCTAGCTCTCAAATTTTTGGCTTGTTGGAGGAACTTCAAAGTATCCAGTTCCCGTGGGCTCTGAAGTATCTCTTTCAGAACGGAAAGATTCAACGCATCCTTGAGGTCTAGTTGCCTAAGGGGACAGAGCACTCTCAAGAGCATGCCGTACATAAGTCTGGGGAGGAACGGAATCCACTTTAGAGAGATATACCACGCACAATGGGTAAGGAGTGCCCCACGGGTTTTTTGTTCCGGAGCCATTACCTGCTGTCTTCCTCTGTTTGGACTACTACATCTGCCTTGCTGCCCTAGTTATCTCACTTCATGGCTCTGTCTGCCTGCTTGTTTCTTTCATGGCTGCAGATTCATTTACCCTCTTTCAGTGCCATTGTATCCATGTACCTCTCCTTATGTCGTCTCCCACCATACATCTGCAAAGTGCTAGGTACTTAACACTGTTCGTTTAACCAGGAATACGAAAGGTGATATGAGCAGCAAGTGAACAGCAGCGTATTTTTAGAGTAAAGCCCAGGTGTGCTGGGCTAAAAGATAGCAGAGGAAATTAAGATATGATGTGACTGCTCGGGCAAAGTTCGCAGGGGTTGCGGCCTTAGCAGAACTAAGCTGGCGCACAAGTATGTGAGCAGCGTCGTACCGTATCCGTTTGACTGCTCGCAGTAGTTTAAACCACGTAGACTTTGTTATTCCGCGGAGTTCGTGCTCAGCTCCCATCAGGTCAGTCAATGAGCTTTCTCTGAAAATCTTTACCGCAAACTTGACATCCGCTTCCCCTGCTGAGCTTCCAGTTGCTGTAGGCATCAATAAAGCCAGTGCCTCGTTACAAGCGGCACCGGTCAAGTAATCCAAATCCACTGGATGCACTTCCCCATAGTTTCCTGCTCCCACTGCAGGAGAAAGGTCAGTGAGCGAAAGTTTGCAGAGAGGCAATTCCAAGGCCATACCAATGCTCTGCCGTGCAGACTGAGGCGGCTGCGCCAACACCTGCAGACGTCCAGGAAGGTGGCTAAGGAGAGGAGATAAAACTATTTGGCATCGCACACAAACAGACACACATAAGAACGTGTAGAACCTTAGTTGCAGCAACATAACGGAGAGTGGGCACAGAGTGCGCACACATGTCCTAATTGTCTACCAGCACGTAACGCTTCCCTTGTTGAGCTCTACTCTCGTATTTAAAAAATATTCTTCATGCCTACCTTTGTACTCAACATATTCATCTGCTGCCACAGATTCGTCTTGGTGCAGCAACGCTACGTCATCGGCTCCTGCACCAGAGTGGATTCTTGCAGCCAGGGAATGCCCATAGGGAATTTCCTGAGAGAGCTGTGGCACATGGGGCACCACGGTACGTAAGCGTAAGGGGGCGGCTAAAAGCTGAGGCTCCTCATGTGTGGTTTCGAGTAAGTCGTCCAGGTGTGGGCGCTCGATTGCTGCTAATCCAGATGCTGCAGTTGGAAATTTGCACCAGAGGATATAACAACAAACAGTACGCACGACGTTTCCCCACATTTCCGTAGGAGAGAAGCAGGAAAGCTTAAAACTCTCTCTACCCCTGGTCACATGAGGGGAGAACGATTTCGTAACAGCAGCAGGGTGACTGCCAAGGCACTGTGCAGTACAGGTCTCTAAAATTGTACAGGGAAGCGAGGGACTAGCAGGACGTGTTACTTCTATATACAATGCTCCATGAAGGACTAATAAGGGCTAAGGCAGTTGAAATTGCAAAAACCGAAATATTATTTCCGGTTGTGCATTGGCAAGCAGTACACACACAGCTTAAATAAAGGAGGTTTCAATCCTAAAATACAGAAAAACACTAAGAATAAGGCTTGAGTATTAATCTTTTAAATTATAGAAACACGGAAACCTAAAAATGTTAAAAGTTTACCGAGACAAAGCGACAGCCGTGTGCCCCCTTCGCCTCTACCCTGTCCAGCGTAATCTTCCACGCCCAGGGAGTGGCTCACATTAATTTGGTGGCCAAGAGATTTTGTCGTGTCTTTCCATATCTTTAAAAGAGGGCAAACAAAAACTTCTGCTTCCCTAAATCTCTCGAAAACGTGTGAAGAAAACTCAACTTTTGCTTTATTGCATCATTTGGGAGAGTGGACTCTTTTCCTCGCCCTGGGCGCTGGGTCTCGATGAATATTCCTTCGCCTGAAAACCTCCACGTGCTGCCCCTGAAAGTAGTGGATATATGATTTCTCAATAGATTAAGTGAATCATATTTCCAATGGAAGCAGCATCAACACCTACTGTGAAGTTTTGCTCCCCGTAGAAACGGGATCGTTCCCCCCTTCCATACCTCTGTACAGGGACAGCCATGACTAGCACCATTCAACGTTCCTGCATGTACGTTGCTAAATACACTTGGGGACTCCCTAGTATCCAAAATTTATTTATAAAAATTGATAAAGGCTTATCTATTTGCCTCGATGGTACGGTTCACACCTATGGTTTGTGGCGAAGTAAACTAGCCTCAATTCTTTGATAATCAACGTTGGAATTGTAGCAGGCTACGCTATACTTAGGCACTTTCTACTACACTTGCTATGTTTGACTAAAAATCAGTAATGCATTGCATAAACGTTTCGTCTGTTTGTACATCTTATATATTGCAGGGGAGTGTTACCTCGTTACAATTAAGAACGTTCCGTGTTTGATCTCTATGGTGTGTGCAATTAGCTGATAATGCTCGAAGTGCTTGTGGGGTGCACCTACGCGCAGCGTAGCCGCACCCGTTTGTCGGGTTAAGGCTTTGAGGGACACAGGTAGGGAAAGGAGGAAATTTTTATGAAAAGTACTGTATAACTTTCTATCGCATTTGTGTGAGTCTGGAGTCAAGCGTCACCATTACAAACCATATATTAGGCCCGCCTTGCAGCATGCTTATTGAAAGAAAATGCAATTCCACGGTGAGCATTGATGCAATTAACGTCGGCTAACTGTTGGGAATACAAAAATACACTTTATTCAAGCCCAGATCCATCGATTTTCGCCTAGGTCGGCTAAACAAGCTTTGGCGAAACTGAGAAAGCTTAAGCACGAGAACCTCTCAACATGCCACTGCTTTAATACATACAAATCTTTAATTTTCGAACGCCATGGTGCTGGTAACGTGTTGCATTGTGCGAGGTTCATCACAGGTGTATCAGAGAAGACGCATCAACTGGCCAGACGTTGGGTAACGGTCAAGGGGAAAAGCATTCAGTTGGGCTTGCACAAAGAAGGGATAAATTGAGGACCCAGAAACATTTGAAGGCAGCTGATACATTTGTAAACGAAAGGCAAGAGCTACAGTTGAATTTAAAACCTATGGATGTAGGGCCTGTGTCAGCTGGGCCCCCCACGGCCCACGGTTAGCGAATAAAAGAAAGCCACAGGTAACCCGCCCTCCTAGGCAACCCCGGATGGCTTCCCAATAATGCACATGCTTTTTTATGCGAAGCTGGTTCCTATTATCCGGAACTGCAAGCATATGCAACAGTCAAAGAGTTAGACCAACAAGAATAACATCAGCGAAAGGAGGCTGCTTGAAGAGCGAAGAAGGCGCATCAGAAAGCCTCCACGCAGGCTACGGCACAGTGAAGGGGGCTACAAAGGGTACAACCACAAGTGGAAATCCACCTCTAGTCAGTTTTACGCAGGTACAGCTTTATATTACTGACCAAATATGGACAGCTGATTGTTAGACTTACCTCACTCTGCATATGAATGGGACCTGCTTTTCAAGAAGAGGAAGCACGAGTGCAATATGCCTGTTTTCGCGCTACCGCGGTCTCTGAGACTTAGGGTAACAAAGGAGCGGCAGACGCATGGACTAGCAAGGCCTTGTTAGTTATTCGTTACGAAATTTTGGAAACGAGCTCTATTAGCATGATCTGTGGCATCTATGTTGGACCCGTGCATCATGGCGTAATCCCAGGATCATCATGGGTGACCAAAAAAAGAACAAGCTGCGCACTGCAGAGACTGGTGTGCCAGGAAGAGGTTAGAAAAAGCTACTCTTGATATTTTTAACAAGTTTCATTCAGTACATGGTGAACGGAGTAGGGTCAGTGTCTCAACAAGGTGAGGCAGAGTCTTCATGCAGATCCTCTCAGCACAACTCTTGGAGGAAACGGCTCTAAGCATGCCGCGCATCATGCTTTCGCTTCGAGTGATTCTGACTCAAGGATACTAGTTAAGTACGAAAGGTGTGAATCGTCACTGGCTACCAACACGCTGGCCACCTGCAGATCGTCCACCGAATCGTATTATGCTTGATCCCTAAGGCAGAAGCGATGTTCCGCGGCGTCGGAAGACCCCACAATGTGATGAGTATATTTTGGGCTCAGGGCGATGGTGATTCCTGAAAATCAAGGTGCGAAATCGCCCATCTCTTCAGGCGTCACCCGGTGTCTGTTGGAAAAGGAAGGATTGTGACGCATGTGTGTTACGTTCGGCCTGTGAACTAGTTCACTATGTACAAGCAAGTTCCTGAACCATCATATTAGGGAGTTGCTTTGACAGACTACACAAATAACCGATCTATTAAGCATTTTACCAAGTACATTAGTTCCTATGAATCTGTCTTTACATTTAAGAAGGCTGATATAAAAAAGGAATTTCCACACTTGCACTTGCAAAAGCAAGTATAACTGTATGTTATTTGTGGCTGTCCATGACTCAGCTAAAGTGCAAGGGCTCTTCAATCGGGATTTTAGAGAGCCTATATAAATGGAATGCATGAATGTCAACATGGAGCCGTCTTAATCCACAGTCGAACCGTTGAACATCATCCAAGGTGTGCGCTTCAGTTCTTACGATGAAGCACTGGTTTGTGAAAGCATACAAGTGCAAGTCCTCATGAGCACAATTGTGCTTCTGAAAATCTGTTATTCGGCTGCAAAGACTGAGCCAATACCAGCAAAAACTGAAGCAATCAAGGCTTGGCCTTTACCTTTGCTCACCTACAAGGCAGCTGACGATTCCTGTAGAAGCGCGTAATATTACCGAGCTTGCTCTTCAGTGTTCGCGCTGATCACTGGTCGTTCGATTGCTCTGCTAAAGATCACGTAATCAGTGGCTTCGACACAGGGGGGCTCATGCAGCGACACGGACGCTTATCGGCAGCCGTACAGACCCTCCACTACTCGTGCTAACGGATGTTGCTGGCCATTTTTCCTAAACAACCGTTTCTTGTGAGGTAGCGGTGGGTGCTATACTCTCGCAACGTGCTACATGTGGTCCGATTCATCAGAATAGTGCTTTAATTCCCTCTCCAAAACAGAGCATTGGTATTCAGTATAATATACTGGAATTTATGCGTCCTGGCAAACTACAAAAACATGCAAACCCTATTAATATTGGAGTCATTTTACTTTCTAGAGCAGCTGCGGTCTTTCGTGTACCGTATGACGAGTGTGTAGCACTCTCTAGGGTTGTTCACTGGCTTGAATACCTTCTATTGTACGCCTCCAAAGCGCGTATTTCAAGGTGGCAACAACATGGTTACTGCCGTGCTCTCTAAACTCCTTAGCAGTTTACTAGGGTGATGTGCAAGTGTTCTTGTTGGGTATTGACTCACGGTGGTTGGTACAAATGCACGAACGTAGTGTTTTTATTGCTCACAGATGAGCTACTAGTGCCAAAATTGAGGAATACTGCCCTCAGGATGGCCTGCAATGGTGCAAAACATAGGGAAGACTTAGTCAGTTCACATCCCGAATTGGCTAAGCAGTGCGTTTTTGCGCACGGCACATGATTTAGCCTTTTGGGCCATGATTGGATTGTTTTAAAAAGCTAAAAGGCTCTCACGGTTCTCCAGATGGCGGGATGCCTTCTGTGGCAGAGGACTACGCACTGCCATGCCCAGATTATCGGTAGCTGAAGCGCCGCAGTCCTCCTGCGCCCAACCACTGCAATATTTTTGGTACTCAAAAGTATTTAGACTACGT